GTTTGAACTTTGATCTCAACTTGTAAAGCCACACCTGAAACAAAACCCTTAACAACTATGAATGTGACCTTTGAACCTACAGCACCACTTCTGACTTAAGTCAATATCAGGCAGCCATTACTGTTATTCATTTATCAGTTGATTATCTTGTTTCCAGACTGTTGACTGGAAATCCAGAGGCTCAATGAAGCTTTTCAGGAGTTTTGATGATTTGAAGAAATACATACTTTGTCAAACTGTTTTAATATTTTATATTAAATATTTCTTAGATTAAATGTGTTTTTTCTTGTCACTTTTCCCTTTTTATAGAAAAAAGCAAAGGATGAAGCAAATGACAGACAAATCCAGAAAACTGGCACATCTTAGAGATGAATGGGACAGAGGTTAACATTTGAGAAAAATATCCGCCTCCAGAAACAAAATCAGCTCCAAAAGTCAAAGCTGCTTGTTTTGCTGACTGTGTATTAAAATCATCAAGTGTTTCTGCTTTCACTCATCAGATTTTCCTGTAGCTGAGTTTTGAGTCGCTCTACAAACTGGTTCCTCTGGTAGTTTCTATTTTCAGCCGATGATGATCAGTAATGTTATGATTTCATGCGACCTGCTGCTGAACTGAACATATGAGCATTTATTCATGAGAGTCACTTCTAAAAGGACAGAAACACTTTGATATGATCAAAACATGAAATCAAATAGTATATTTAGGGTAACAAAACAAAATTATGCTGATTTACAATACCGTAAAATGATCATTGTTTTGTAGAGTCTTCATCAATAATGATCTTTTAAACTTTTTTTAACTTACCTTTGGGAATAAAAAATGTTTACTACTGAAATTTTGCAATCTATGAGTGAAAGCTTTGAATAAATAATAAACAGAGATGAGTCAGGTGTCCAGAAAAGAGAAATTTACTTCTGATGAAATTTCACCAGCCCTTAATCAGCTATAGGATTATTCTAATCTGACAGACAGAAGATATAAAGTCCAGTGTTTGTAAAAAGCCCTTAACATTTTCTGCTTCTGTGTCACTGTGAAAAGTAGTTTTCGAATGATGATGTCATTCACTAAGGAAGAAAAGCTGTTCAAATAAATATGGATCAGTGTAAAAAAGTAATTAATTTGGTTTTTCGTTCATTTTGCTCCTTGTTATTTCAATCTGAGTCTCCAGCTGATTCCACTGAAATGATTCAGTTTCTTGACAGTCTCAAGTTTCCTGTTATAAACCAGGATGTTTCTAGGCAACTGGACTTGCCACTAACCATGGAGGAGACTGTTACTGCCATGGGAAGCATGCAAAGCAATAAAGCTGCTGGACCAGATGGATTCCCTGATGATTTTTTTGTTTTAATTCCAAGACAAGCTTTCGACAATAATGCACAGAGAGAGCTTGTAAGATCGGGGATAAATCAGGGGATGTGATTCCCTAATGAGTTACATCTCCTGAATTACATCATATCTCATTCTTTCTTCTTTGCAATGTTTTGTTTATTGTGTCATAAACAAACATCAGCTATTGGTGTTGAATTTTAATGTGAAAATATCCATCCATCTATCTATTTTCTAACACCCTTGTCCCTTTGTGGGGTCAGGAGGTCGAGAGGCTGGGTCACCTGGACAGGTTGCCAGTCTGTCACAGGGCAACACAGAGACAGATGGGACACACAACCACACTTATGGACAATTTGGAGTTATGTTTTTGGACTGTGGGAAACTGAAGTACCTGGAGAAACCCACCATGCAAACTCCATGCAGAAAGACCCAGAAACCCAGAACCTTCTTGCTGCAAGGCAACAGCTCTACCAACTGCACCACTGTGCAGCCCCCAATAAAATATTTGCTATGTATTATATTTTTGGGATATAGCTATTTCAAAGGGGTTGAAATCTGTTAAAATTAAGGCTTTTCATTGACTGAAATCCAGCTGAAAACGTCATTGCAGAGATTTTCCCTTTCAATTGTAAATATCCACAAGAAAAGAAACCTGACAAAATGTGAAAGGTATACCTGCTGTGCTCACGGTACAGATTGGTATCAAAACAGCAAATAAGTGACAAGAAAAACCTGAATAAAGACAAAAACACAGGAAAGATCTGCATGAAACAGGCTGGAACATGAACTCTGTCTTTAGTCACTTTTTGCTGCTCTGTTCATTAATCTGTAATTAAATTTAAAGTAGAATGAGACCTCACTCCTCATGTTTATATAAAACTGGAAAAAAACACAAAAAAACAGAACTTTAATATATTTTTTATTTCCTCAGTGAGAAAATAAATTAAATTATTTATAAATTATCTAAAATAAATTATTTCAGAGCTTTTAATGTTCAGTCAGTGCAAATGTTAAACAATTTGATGTGGTTTAATCTGACTGTTTAATATAAGCCTCAATGTTTTCTCCTTTTAGTTTTATAAAGGCCGTGTAGTGGGAATCAAAACCAACTAAAACACTAAATAACAATGAAATGAAGAGAATAATTTAAAACGTGACAATTTCCTTTGTCTTTGTGTTGACTTTTACATCGCTTAAAATTATTTTTCAAATTTAGACATTTTATAGCTACATTTAGTTCCATGAACATGAAGAAAATGTGAATGTTGTGTGTGGAGTTTCCGTCTCCTTCCACCTATTCAGGTTTCCTAGTGGAGTCCTGGAGCAGCTGTCCCAGAGGGCGGACCTGCTTTTATCTGACACACCTGCAGACAATTTTCTGGCTTTAAAGGGTAAATGTTGAACTTTGACCCCTGTCCAGCTGTCGCCATGACTGTTTGGTTTGTGCAGGTGGAGTGAAGCGTTCTGTGTCCTACACCGAAGTCATCATCTCACAGGACAGGAAACCTCAGAGAATCACTGGTGAGAGTCGTCAGTCGCTCTGAGTTCATCTGAGTTCATGAAGAGATCTGTGGAAACCCACTGATATGAACAAACGGTCCCTGAATGCATCACAGCCTTTAGAGCAGGTCACGTCTGGAAACCCACTGATGTGAACAAACGGTCCCTGAATGCATCACAGCCTTTAGCGCAGGTCACGTCTGGAAACCCACTGATATGAACAAACGGTCCCTGAATGCATCATGCCTTTAGAACAGGTCATGTCTGGAAACCCAGTGATGTAAACAAACGGTCCCTGAATGCATCATGCCTTTAGAACAGGTCATGTCTGGAAACCCAGTGATGTAAACAAACGGTCCCTGAATGCATCATGCCTTTAGAACAGGTCATGTCTGGAAACCCAGTGATGTAAACAAACGGTCCCTGAATGCATCATGCCTTTAGAACAGGTCATGTCTGGAAACCCAGTGATGTAAACAA